CTAGGTCAAATTACAAATAATTGGCAATTATCTAAATTTGACCTAATTCAATTTCTTACAAGATAATTCATCAAATAATTCAAATAATTAAAGGTTATCTTATAAGGCAATAAATATTTGATTAATTGGTAATTATCTTTTATTTTGGTAAGGATATTCACCAAAAATCAATAAAAATCGTATTTTATTAATTAAAAACGTTTATGGTAAGTATCCCAAGCCAAAACAGCAAGAAAATCGCCAAAAATCGCTGCCAGATCCTTGGACTCGCCGAGTTCGTCTAGTGAGTCGCCGAGTCAGTCAAGCAGAAGGTGCAAAAATCGATATTTCAGCCAATCAATTCATCAACAAATAGCCCTAGGTTCTGATACTACCGATGGGTTTCAAGCAATACATCAATCCTATGGTGTACTTCCAAACTCTTATAGCTTTGGATCCAGTTTGTCTAATGAACATGCAATTGATAATCCAAAGCCATAAACCCTAGATCCAATAAACTATAACTGAGATTAGGGTTTAGATCTTACCTTTGGTTGTTATATAGCAATAACAATCAATCATTGGCTTCAGAAAGCTTAGTGCCTCAAGTGTTGCACCTCTAATAGGGTCACAAACACCACTAAGCAACTTGGATGAAGAGAATAGAGAGAGGAGCACCCAAAATTGTCCAGAAACCCTAAGGGAATCATTCACCACGTTTTTGGGGCTTAGGGGCTCCTAAATAGCTAGGCAATTAGGGTTATCTAACAAAAAAACCCTAATTTGACTACTTAAGCCCTAAGCAGCCCATGGACTTCTTCTTTAGAAGCCTTGGACGATTTCTAATGGGTTTCCCAATAGAATTCGTCCACTCCACCGAGATGTTCTCAAAGAGACCGATGAATTATTCTGCAAGAAGAACAACGAAAGTTAATCAAATTTTGTGAGGCTTGAAAATTAAAGAATTTTTTGTATCTTTTTTTTTTTTTGTTAATTTTCATTAGATTAATAGTTATTAACCAGTTACATTAAAAAATAATATTTTACATCTAATTTAAATTCGTTTATTAAGTTTATTATATTGAAATTTGATGAGTTAACAATAAAATTATAATAATTTATATTTTGAAAGTTTAAAATTAATATGATTTAAGCACTACATGAAAAATGACTTTTATTTCAAACCCCGTGGTGATGATTTGTTACTTTGTTTAATAACCTATTTGACACAATTAGAACTTTCCATGAATCGAAATTTAAATTCGTGATAACTAATTGTGATGTCATTAACTCTTAAGAGTACTCTTTCCAAAAAAAAAAAAAAAAAAGTAAATAAATAAATAAATAAAAACTCTTAAGAGTATAGCATGATAATTAAAGTGTGTTATCATAGGTGATATTCAATTGTTTGTTTTAGACATACAGGGGTCGAGAGCCTCGGACCCCTTAGCCCATCACTATTTTCTTCTTTGAACATGACTTTTTCATGTGAAATTTGTAAAGAAAAAATAAAATCCTTCAAATCAACTCATTTTTGGTTGGTTTATTCGGTCCAACTATGTACAGTATTTGGACAATTTGTTTTATAAAGTTACATCAATCAACTTTGTAAGTTTTTTCGATAAAAAAAGGTTAAAATGAACGATATGTGCTTCTACTCTCTAACTTTCACACAAACATTTTATTCTTATTTTATAAAAGGTAACTTGAATCTTGAGAGATTTGATTATGATCGATGTTAGGATTAATTGGAGTCATATATGATGAACAACTCTATTAATATACATATATACATATATGTATTTTGTTTTTTGTTAAATTGTATGGTCACTCTCACTCCAAAGTCAAATAGTTTTCAAGTATGAATACTTGAAGAGCAATACCCCACACACGTATGAGATGAAGGGTCAAACAAAGCCCCTTGAATTGAATCAATTGTAAATATCTTCCCTTTATATTGGTTTTGTTTTTCAAACGACAGTTATGTATGAATTCCACATTCCACCACTACTCGTCTGAAATTGGTCGTTAAACTCAACTTGTGCCATGCAAAAGATATTCTTTAGAATAAAATCATGAGTTTGTCTCTTGATCGAATTTAAATGTGAATCTTGAAAAATATTATGTGATATATAAAATAACCAGAATAACACAATTAGTTGTTATAAGATGGGTAATAGACATGTAAGTATATTAATTTATAAGTGATTGTCGTTTTTGAAAAGGTAATACTCATATATATATATATATATATATATATATATATATATATATATATATATATATATATATATATATATATATATATATATATATATATATAAATAAATGACAAATAATATTTAAAAAAAATTTCAAAGAATTTCAATTATTTTCATTTTAAAAATGTTTTTTTATCTACGAAATGAATAGCTAAGATTGCATATCACGGTCTCATAAAATTAGATCATCTCACATGAACCTAACTCTCTCTCTCTCTCTCTCTCTCTCTCTCTCTATATATATATATATATATATATATATATATATATATATATATATATATATATATATAAATTCCTTTTATCATTTGATAGTTGGTAGTAAACTATGTGATAGATTATATGTAATTAACAATTTAAAATTGATATTTGAATGCACAAATCTATTAAAATGTGAAATCTAGGAGAAGCAAATAGAAGAAGGACTACTTTTGTGCTTTATCATTTTTAGTGCTTATATCAAAGAGAATAGGCCAAGTCTAAGGGGTCTAATGTAAATATTAGAAGCAATGACGCAAGAGGGAATAGGCGGCCGCAGCCAGTATTACTTCTATTAAAAAATTGAAATTAAAAAAAAAAAAAAAAAAAAAAAAAAAAAAAAAAAAAAAAAAGTCAAATATTGTTGATTTTGTAGTTTTGACAATGATTTGATCGTTTAAATTTCATATATTTTTATGTCTAATAGTATAATAATGCCGAATAAATATACAGTTGTTTCTTGATAATAAGATAGATAAGTATGAACAATAATCAAATTAATGACATAAAATGATGGTTACCATGGGACAAAAATAATAATAACAAGGGTTTAATAATTAAACCAAGCATGTATCTTTAATGTTCGAAAACAAAGTTATTTTATTTTTTGTTTGATAAAAGAATAATATTTATTACATCATGTTGATCCATGATTTGTAAGTCATTCATGCATTCAAGCTTATAAACCTAATTGGGTTTGATCTTTTTATCATTGTTGGACTCATTCACATTCATCTCTTTTGCTAAATTTATTCTCAAATATTTATTTTTAAGTATCGATATCTCATTCACATATACTCCGTTTTGGATATATAATATATCATTTCGAAATTTTCACAGAGGACAACACAAACACATTTAGAGTTAATTATATATACAACACAAACACATTTAGAGTTAATTATATATACAACATATGTATATATTTATATATGTACAAAATTAGTAAAAATAATATTTATAATAAAATTTTCAACATATGATACAATTAATATAATTATAATTAATATATAAATACGAATATCTTTTTTTTTCTCAAACTTGTAATGCTAACATCTCTTTTACGTCACTTTAATTTAATATATATATATATATGGAAGTATGAAATGAATTAATCTTGTTGTGGAATGGAACTAAATTTGTTCTAGTTTTAATAAGATTTTCAGTTTTTTCTTTTCAGTGCGAAAGTAGAAATATTTATAAATCACATCCTTGTAATTAGAAATAATTTGGGGTTATTTTATTTTGATTTTTAAATGTTGATTTATTCACAACACATACCAACAAACAATAGATTTGTCATTTGTCTTTTACAACGGATCCTTTAAATAGTGTAATTTGTAGGTGATAAAACTTCTCTTGTTACAATGTGAGATTTCCGGTGGTTGGCTTTGCATAATTACCTAACTACATATAAAAACATAAAATATTAACTATTAATACATGTGAGTATTTCCAACAGAGGAGCTATAAATATTAAATAAATAAATTAACAGTTTAACACTCCAACAAAGAACATATAAAGCAAATACTATTTGTTATATACATTTGTTTAACTTCACTTTAAACTTTTACCATTGCAATCCAATTTTGGTACAGGTCCTTCCTAGGAAAGAACATGACCACGACTGAAACTTTGTCTTTTTTTTTTTTTTAATAATTATATTCAAACTTAAATGGAATAATTATTCCTAGTTTCATACAACTTGATACATATTGGAACCCAAACCGTACGAAACTCTTTATACTTTTAAAACGGTTAATGACAAAATAAATAACACCTACAAAATTGAATTCAATATTATTATTTTTTAATATTGAACTCATCTCATGTGGGAGATTTTAAGGCTCAAGAGTTCAACTTCTTTTACTTTCTTCTTCATGTTGTCTAAACTATGTAAAGAGTCAAACCTTGACCACTTCCTTTTTTTTTCGCTTGCACACTACAGATGTTTGAAATTCCTGATTTTTTGAATAGCTGACCAAAACTATAGACAAAAAAAAAAAAAAAAAAAGGAAAAAAGAACATTTGAATCCTTCTTTACTGAATCTATGTCGCAGGAGATACGTTGTTATACTTCTATTCTAGAGAAAACAATACAATAATTAACTTTTAGGCTTTACTTTTCATTCAACAAAACATAATGCTGATAACACGTCATTGTCTAAATTAATTATTCATCAATTTAATCTAGAATTTTTCCTTATCCAAGAAAACTTAAACCAATTTTTCCTATATTCTTTTAATATTTTAGACAATGAGGCGATGATAGATTGAATAAAAACTAGCAATTTCAAACTATTAATATGGGTCTTAACAACAACTTGTACATAACCGAAAATATTTTGATAAATTTACCCATGAAATAATATTAATAATGATAAACCGAATTCCAGTTATTTCTGTCTTTTCCTGTCATCATCCTCTTCATCAGAATCACCATGCTCACGAAAACGTGGGTTTTTCTCCTGTTTTGATAAACATAAATAATCATAATTAAAAAAATTGTTTTAATCAATTATCATACAAATCAAAATTCATTTTACCTGTTTGGAATCAAAATCAGAGTTTCTTCGAGTTTCGTTTTCGGAATTCCTCTTGGGCACATCGGGCCCACGTCTATCCCGATCATCATCACGGTATCTCTTCCTTTGATAATCTAATATTTTTTTTAATAAATAATTAAATACAAAAAACATATAAACAAAAAAGTAAATTAATTAAAAATACCTCCTCTGCCATGCCTGTGTCCACCTCCCCCATACCCATGACCACCTCCTCCTCCTCCATGTCTTCCATCTAATTTCACAAAACACAAAATGATAAATTTTCCATTTTCCATAATAAATAAAAATAAAATAAAATAAATAAAATTGTGAACTTACAGCTGGCAGCCATGGGAGGTGGCTGAAAAGATCCCAATGATCCAACCCCATAATCAACAACCTGCCTTTGTTCTTCTAATTCTTTTTGCACCAATTTTCCATAACCACCCCTATGTTTGACCAGTCAAGGACACCTCAACCAAAATTCCATCTACTTACGTAATGGGTTAAAATAACACAAGGGTAATATGGTAATTTAGTCTCTCAATCCAGACACTTATTCAGTCTAAAGACTAAATAAACCGTCTGAACGAGACCAAATAACCGTTTTACCCTTACATTCAATTTTAACATGAGAAGAGATCAAGAGAAGGGCAAATAGGTAAATTTAACTCATTAAGTTAAAAAAAAAAAAAAGGATATCAGGATCATAATCTGTGCGATATTCATCTCTAACTTGTCCACCACTACGCCCACGCCCCCATTGTCTTCCATCTTGAAACCCCCAATCAAAATCAACACGAATAGGCCGATCATCAAGAATTGTCCCACTTATGTATTTCACTGAATCTTCAGTGTCTTCCCTAGAATAGTACCTGATTTTAATAAAAATAAAATAAACATTTATTAAGTAAAATAAATTATTTATGATTTGTAAGGTGAAACGATTATATTACATGATGAAGCAGAAGCCACATGGGGTTTTTGTGTTCTTGTCTAAACCCATGACAATCTTTTTGATTTCTCCTGCACGAGAGAAGAGCTCATAAAGTTGCTCTTCAGTGGTGTAGAAAGACATGTTGCCAATGTATACAGTTGTTGAGGTTTGGAGTGCGTGTTCATATTCTTCTTGGGTTCCTGGAAACCTTCTGTCACGATATGCTGAAATCTTTGTTGGATCCTAGAAAACAGGTAATGAACAGAATACAATACACACACACACACACACACACTCATAAGCCATCCAAATAGTGGTAATTTAGTAATAGTAAAAACTGGATAAAATATTGGATGTTACCTTGAACAGCAACGCCATTGTAACTTATCTGAAAATGAAGACAATTAGGACATTGTGATGTTAATCTCGAGTTAACTAAAAAGATTGTTATGTTTACAGAAGTATCTGATTTGTTGCATGAAATTATATCAATGCCTGAGCCCTAAAAATATTGAAATCGGTAATAGAAACTGATAAATGTGGTTTTTCTTTGGATTCTGCAAGCATTTAAGGATTATAGATGTGATTACAACAAAATGAATTCATTCATACGCGATTGCACTTGCGCACACGCAATTTTTTTACAAACGCAATAATCCACACGCATTTGCACTTAGCACAGGCTTATTTAGAAGTCGGTTTGATTAAACAGTCTCTTTATTTGCAGAATGGGAATTACAAACAGAAAAGTTAATTCAATTTGATGGCATAAACGAGGATAACCTAATTTATTTGAAGTGATAAAAGGAACCAGTTTTTTGGGCGTAAAAAGTCATAAAGTCGATTAATCACAGAATAGATAGAATTTTTGAAGGTTTTGAAAGTTACCTTGCTGTTTCGATGTTGAAGACGACGAGAAGAAGGGAGGAGTGCGGCTGTTGCGATCGGAGCGTGAAAGAACCGACGGTGTAATACTTGATAGATAATTAGATACTGCCCTTTGTTTCTGTTTACGGGTAGCCCAATCCAACCATTAAGTAGTTAAATACATACGGGCCGGCCCAAATAACCTTATTTCCATTCGAGTTAAATTTTTCAAAAATCAAAACTAAAAAAAAAAACCTTAGGGTGCGTTTAGTTGCGGAAAAATAAGCCGTTTTCCGGAAAAATTTTCCAAGAAAAATGAGAATTTTGAAAACGCGTTTAGTTGGTCTATTTTTCTAAAATTTTCACGGAAAATGAAAAATTTTCGTTTTCTAAAATTACAAAGAAGTTGGAAAATTTTGGAAAACTGATAATCATTGTTTTCCACATTTTTCTAATTCAAAATTTTTTTTTATAAACACACACACATACATTCCCACCCCACACACACACACACCCACACACACATACATACATACCCATCCACACACACCAACCCACACACAAACACACACATACACACACCCACAAACACACACACATACATACCCACCCCCACACACACACACCCACAAACACACACAAACATACATACCCACCCACACACACACACCAACCCGCAAACACACACACACACATACATACCCACCCCACACACCCACCCACCCACCACACACACACACCAACCCACACACACATACATACATACCCATCCACACACACACACACACCAACCCACACACAAACACACACACCCACACACCCACAAACACAAACACACACATACCCACCCCCACACACACACCAACCCACAAACACACACACACACATATATACCCACCCATACACACACACATACCCACCCACCCACACACACCAACCCACAAACACACACACACACACATATATACTCACCCATACACACACACACATCCGCACACACCCCCGTGCGCACACACACACACACACAAACCCACACCTATCCCCACCCCCACCCTCACAGACACATACACCCCCACACACAAACGTACACCTACCCCCACAAACACACACTCGCACCCCCCACCAACCCAACACCACCATGACAATCACCGACCTACCATCACCACCACCACCACCACTAACCCGTCACTAGCACCACCACCACCGCTGCCGCTACCATCACCACCACTGACACAATTGTTACCGCCACCACCATCGCCTGTCATCACCACCACCGCCGCCGACCCGCTACCGTCACCACCCCCACCCACACCCTACCACCGCCACCGTTTTTTAAAAATGAAAACCGATAGAAAAATACACATCTAAACACGTTTTCTAATTTTCTAAAACTGAAAATGAAAAAATGAATAAGTTTAACTAAACGCGTTTTTTAAATTTTTCAATGAAAAATGAAAACGGAAAACGAAAATCGAAAAGGGAAAACAAAAAACGGAAAATGAAAATTGTTTTTCTGTAACTAAACGCAACCTTACCTTCTTCCACGATCGATAGGGTTTAAAATCCCTTCAAACTCTTATCGGCAATGCCTGCTGGATCGCGATCGGTTTTTACCTTTTCTGATGTTTGAGTCTTCTTGCTTCATGTACCGGTGAACCCTTTTCATTATCTATTTCCTTGAGGATGGTTATTTTCCTACTAATTGTTTGAACAATGCTCATGGTCTCAAACCGTATGTAAAAGCCGCAACTACCATATTGTCTGCTTTATCTAGGGCGTTGAGTGTGGCTTTGTTAAATTGTTGGACGAAGACACTGATAAATTCATCTTATCTTTTTCTACATCCCATGATAGCTTGTGCGTTTGCTGTGTATCTCCTTTGTTGTATGAAATGGCCAATGAATTCTTCTCTTAATTGATTAAAATCGTGTATGCTTTCTACTGGCAAGCTTTCGTACCATAGTCGTGTTGCTCCCGATAGGGTAGTTGGGAAGAAAATACACCAATAGTTTTCATCAAGGTAATAGGCATCCATTGTAACACCTACAAATTCAGGCAACTAATAATAGGAAAATTTTGCCAAATCTTCCGTAAATCAATAAGTGTGCCGAAACACACACACACACACACACACACACACACACATATATATATATATATATATATATATATATATATATATATATAAAGTACACGTTGTCATGATCCTGAAAATATAATTTTTATAGAAATCCGATTCCGTATATATTAGATATGATTTTTATAAAGATATAAAAATTAGTTGCGCACAAGGAATGTGTGATGTTAAAAGGTATTAAAATAATGGTGGAATTTACAAAAAAATAAATAAATAAATAAAAAATTAAAAAAAAAACATCAAAAATGGAGTCTGTATGAAAAAGTTATGGAATTTACAAAATATGTAATCTGCGCCCCACACAGTGCGTGCCATGTGTGCATCGAGTGTGCGACACACGCTTCTAGAAGGTGAAAATGTGGACCACAGAGAGGCCGATATGTGGCACACAGTGGGTAGGGAGACGTAGCCTTAAAATGCACAACTTACACCCTTTTTGTACGCCGCGCAACCCAAAATTAGCTATATATAGGAGACCAAGCCTCATTTATTCCTCACACCTCTACAAGTCATTCTCTTGACTTTTGCTCTGCCTTAGCCCTATTCTCCCTTAATTCTAGTATACCGGAAAAGCCGTACGACCCCTGAGTGCCCGGGAAGTAGTAGCTTTCAAGTAAAAGCTCTGTCAGTGCAATTTCCAGACTTTTGTCTAGGGAAATCTCTGTAAGTTGAATTACACTCTAGCTTTATTTTAGTGTAATTCATATTTAAATTCATAGTCGTTGTTATTAGGGTATAAATAAGATTTTTCAGTGATTCCAATATCATATTACTGATTGATCTACTTACGGGGATGATGTCTAGGCTAGATTTATTGAGGTATTTCAAATAGGATTTCCAAACAACATTCCTCATTTTATTTGCAATTTTAGTATCAATTTTTAATTTTATTTATTTGTTTATTTTTTTGCATTTTTAAGTACAAATGTAGGTTGTTTTCTTTAAAAACTTACACATTGGATGACAAATGTGTGGAGAGGTGTATAACTTTTTCCTTGAAAGTTGTAGAATAGTTGTCACAAATGTCTTGCAAATATGGGGCGGATTTTTGTTTTATTAGGTGTTGAAATCATTTGATTATAACGCTTGACGGAGTAGGGGTCGGCAACCCTCAACGAATCCCACCTAGACTTAGTAAACACTATGCCACGAACTCGGCATTTTGAGTTCTGTGGCTTAACTTGGTGAGTTTCTGGTGAGCTACTCTTCTTCTCTTCTTTCATGCCCTCTGTTTGGCATCATTTTCGGTAGAAAATGGAGATGGTTAAGATGGAGCTCGGTTACCCTGGCACCACTCCCCCCAGCTTAAGATTGGGTAAAGGTGCTTGTATGCTAAGGGTAATGATTGTCTTTTGTTTCTCTAACATTAAGAAAATTTAAATATATATCTTTTAGAGCACTGATTTTATTAAGAATGGTTAAATGTAAAAAATAACAACGAACATTTATTTATTCATGTATCATAGCATCATCCGGTATATTGTACATGGTTTTTCATATGTTTTATGGTACAAAATAGCTTCATTATTTGGTCTTTTCGTTTAGAACATGATAAGCCTATGGACCGGTTTATAAACCGACCCTACCAGTTTGACACTCATTATAAACAGTTTTAAGTGTTTGCATTGCAAAAAAAAATGTTTATTCCAGTTTGGTATTTGTAGTAAGTTTTTTTTTAATAGTTATTTTGTTTTAGTTTAGAAACTCCTTTATTACGGGTGGAAAGTAAATTACAATTTTACTTTTAATTTAAAATAATAATAATAATAATAATAATAATAATAATAATATGTAAGATGTCTTTTTCCAATTAGTAATTTTTGACAAACACTCAAAAATATATACTATATTTTTTACATTTTAGTATTGAATAAAGATAATTCAAATATTTTTTTAACGTTACTGTTATACCTTATACGTTAATAAACATTATAAAAAATCATATATTATTTTAATTAAATAAGCAATCACAAACACCTTTAAATAGGTGATTAGGTGTGAGATCCATGTATTACATGGGTTTATTTAAAAAAAATGAAATTTTAACAATTTGAGAAGTTTGAATTTATAAGAAAAATGAGAATAAATTTAAATTATTAAAATTAATTAGACTTTAATACATTGAATATATTACATACATAAATCATTTCTAATAAATACCTTACATATATATTACCTTATATATTAAATGTGAAATTTTAATTTAATAAAATGAAAATTACAATAAAATAACAAGTGAAAAATAGAAAATTCAAAAATTCTAGAAAATATCATATGTCCAAATGAATGAGAAGAGGACATGTAGCAAAAAAAATCTTCATTTATTAAGGAGGATTGTTTTTGGTAGCTTAACATTTTAATATTGATTTTATTATTTGTTGTTGGGTTAATTGTTATAACTAAAACACATTGCCATACAAAAGAATCCCACATCCCACTCCCTCCTTCTCATTGGAATTTTCCCCACCCATATTCATACCCTACTTCTTCTTCTCTTCTTTCAACCAACAATTGGACAAACCACCAGCACCAGTGCACCACCGCTGTCAACCACATATAAATTATTATCTTCTTATTAACTATTAACACCACAAGTCTTGTCAATAGCGAAAGGAGATGGTAACGATAGGCATGTGGTTTTCTGTTTTTTCTCAGATCCAAACAAATCCATGCGTGCGCAGGGCCAGGGGTTGTGTGTGTTGTATTTTGAGAGAAATAATAATAATAATAATAATAATAATAATAATAATAATAATAATAATAATAATAATAAACATTATTTAGAAATAATTAAAATAAATATTTCAAATGTTGGTTAAGAATTAAGATTAGCCTTTTACAAAAACTAAGATTTCGTTTTCGTCTAATGGACCATGTCAATATGATTGCGGATAGTGGGTAGTGGGAACTACTTTACTAATTAAGATAATTTATACTAGTACAATGGGGCCGATTTGAAAAGCATTTTTAGCAACTTCAATGGTAGCTATTACCCCCAA